GTCTTCCAACAATCTATTGAAATTCCAATGGGTACCAATTGCGCCCCGTTATTAGCAGACCTTTTTGTATTCATATGAAGCAGAATTTGTCCAAAATCTTGTACGTGAAAAGAAGAAAACACTTGCTGTGGTCTTCAACTCGACATTTAGATATATCGACGACGTATTGTCAATTAACAATGGTTATTTCCATTCTTATGTCGATACGATATATCCTGGTGAGCTTGAGATAAAAGATGCCACAGAGTCTGACACATCTGTTTCATATTTGGATATTTTACTTGAAAAAGACGTTAATGGTAATCTAACAACCAAGCTTTATGATAAACGTGATGACTTAAACTTTTCAATCGTCAACTTCCCTTACTTATGCAGCAATATACCTTCATCACCTGCATACGGGGTATATATCTCTCAGTTGATTCGATACGCAAGAGCATGCTCTACGTACATGTATGTACAATTTCTAAAACGAGGTAAAAATTATTGACAAACAAGTTGATGAAACAAGAATATCAGCTGTTTCGTTTAAAGTCATCATTTCGTAAGTTCTATGGTCGATACAATGACCTTGTCAGCAAATACAATTTATCATTGAGTCAATTGCTGACTGACGTTTTTCATACTAATTGTTAGGCCATTATTTACACACTGAATTGTCGACGGATTTTTCCGTTATTTTCCGATCATGACAATGGGCACGCGGCGGGTGTGACCGGTCGGCAGGGGATGCTCACTCCTCCGTGGCGCCTGATCCCGCCTCTGATGTTTGGGGGTCCGTGTTTGCTCTGCTCCTATTTTGTATTGTTTAATGGACTTTTGAGCTTGAATGCTGTTCGTTATCTCCATATGTTTCACCATAGAGTTTGACACATCTGCTTTATATTCGGATATTTTTTCTAGAAAAAGACGTTAGTGGTAACCTCACAACCAAACTTTATAATAAACGTAATAACATTTTTATCGTCAACTTCCCTTATTTATGTAGCAATATACCCTTATCACCTTCATATGGACTTTATGTCTCTCAGTTGATTCGATATACAACAGCATGTTCTACGTACGAACAGTTTTTAAAACGTGGCAAATAAGTCGATGATACAAGGATATCAACAGTCTCATTTAAAGTCAATATTTCGCAAGTTCTATGGTCGGTACAATGACCTTGTCAGCTAGTTAGAATAATCCAACTGTGTCTCGGGACAAGCCCTCACCACAGTTAGAATACGTCCCATATACTTGTAATGTAGCAAATCGGAGCGGATCCGCTCCGAAATGATTTTGAAGAATACAAAAGGAGTTGCTCTGAAAATAACTACCAAAGTAATCATAACAAACCTTTTTGAGATTGTATATGCCTTTTAACCTACCGTAAAAAACAACCCATATAAATACGAAAATTCAACTCATTTTCTCAACTTTTTTTTTCTCGCTTCAAATTTACACGCCATGTTGACCTTCGGAACTCTCTAAATACACAGAGTTTGAGTTATCGCCCGTGTTTATTTCGCTACATTGTCAATACACGGAACGAATTATATCGTTAAACCGGGTCCGTTGGACAATATCATTTTAACGATAGAACGTTCCATCTACTTGTCAGCAGACACACTCTATCAATAAGTCGAATGTTAACTGACGTTTTTCATTCAAATTGTTACGTCATTATTGTCTACGAATTTTTTTTTGTTTGCCCGATCAAAGCGGGTGTGACCGGTCGACAGGGGATGCTTGTAAACCCTTCCATGGCGCCTGATCCCACTTCTAATGGTTTTAGAGGTCCGTGTTTGCTCTACTCCAAATCTGTATTGTTTCAATGGACATTTGAGCTTGGTTATTGTTCGTTATCTTCATATGTCATTGGATCAATGTGCACAGTCCAAATGTTCACTTCGACCAGACGTCAGGAGCTCGCAGTTACAAGCAGTGCTCTGTGCCGCTTTCTGTGCTCGCTATAAATCAATGGGAAAATGTTTTAATTATATAATATTTATAGAATGAAATGCAAGGATAACAAACAATAATCATGCTGAAAAGTGTAATTAAACAATTGTGAACAGAGCAAACACGGACCTCTGAAAACGGAGATGGGATCGGGTACTATGGAGGATTGAGCATCCCCTGCCGACATGTCACACATTGAAAATTCTGCAGACAATTTATTTTGAGAATTATGATCTAATTATTTATCTGAAAAACGTTTGTCAACATTCTACCTATCACCTAATGATAAATTGTATTGTATCGACCATAGCTTTTTCGAAATGTTGACATTAAACGAGATTGTTGATATCCTAGTATCATCAACTTATTTGTCACTACTCTGTCTAGAGTATGTTCGTTAACAGAACATGCTCGTGCGTATCGATCAACTGGGAGACATAAACCCCATATGCAGGTGATTATGGTATATTGATACATAAATTATGGAAGTTGAAAATAGAAATTTGAAGTCATCGCGTTTGTTATAAAGCTTGTTTGTTAGTTTCCATGTATGTCTTTCTCTAATAAAATATCCGAATATGAAACAGATATATCATACACTGTGGTGTCTTTTATATCTAGTTCAATAGGATATATTGTATCAACACAGAAATAAGAATTAAGGATCATTGATACTCAGTTAAGAGTGATAACTCTCAATAAATGTCTATTATATCTTTATAAATTTGTGAAGTTGAAATGTCTTTTTTGTCAACATTCGCCCCCCCCCCCCCCCCGCCCCAAGCTGCTATAATTGTTTGTATTTTAATAATAAAAACATATTTCTTTTGGACAATTATAAGACCTAATGAATTTAAATGTCGAAGGCCACAGCAAGAGACTCCTACTTTTCATGTTGAAATTTTTAGAAATATAAGTCTGTTAATAATGGGGCACAATTAGAACCCATGGTAATTCCAAAATACTGTTGGAAGACCTGGTCTCCAAAGATTACATAAATACTGTCAATAGGAAACTCAACTTCAAGCATCTTTTTAATATAAACCTCAGAGTACTTGTGTGTAGATTCAGAATGTTTTTTAAATAAGTTTGCAAATGACCAATGACAAGGGATGCAAATTTACGAGTTCCATTTTTATTGAAGAAGCAGTCGTCAGTAATGCCAAAAAAATCGTTGTTTGTAAAAATGGCACTGTCAAGTTCGTGCTCGTGTACAGCCAACTGGTGACAATATTCACCAATATATATTATTAATAATAATAACTTAATGTTATTGTTTAAAATAGCAGAAAGTATCCATTCTTCTAACGTCTAATATGTATCAAGTTTGAATAAGGGGTTAGATTATGGTAACACTTAGCTAACAACGTAAACAAGAGTAAATGTGTATCTAGTATAGGGTGTGTAAGATGGTTATCCACCTTGAAGTAGATGATACAGTAATGCTTACATAAGCGGCTTCGCAAAACGTTTGAAACGTTTTTGTAAAATTACTAATTCTTACAGAACATGCCCACCCCTCCTTATTTTAATACCAATCTCAAATTTTAAATCTGCCATAAATTTTAAACTGCAGTTTATAGGTATTGTCATTTACATAATTTTGTCATATACAAATTTTGCATAAGAAATATCAAAATTGTTGCAGAGGAAAGTATAGATATATAATTTTATGCATAAATTTGTGCTATTAGAAAAATAAATGTTACTCTAAAATACGCCTAGAATCCAGAAATGAATTCTGGTTTAAATTTCAACGGTCAATACTCTATTAAGTACATTCCGTACCTTGATTCACATATTGCACATCTCAACATGTTTGATAAGATAATAAGCCCCTTTGATCTTATTCGCCCACGTACGTGCCTCTTGCATTGCAATGTTCTATTTTTAGTCTCTGCACATTAACACGTTCATATTACAGAACACTCCTGCTGGTATTAATTTTGATAATGAATACCTTTTGATTTCATTCAACTTTAAAGACCCTTATATTTCATTCATAAGAGCTGCCATACCCATTCAATGGTTGTTTGGGGTTAAGCTTTGTGGTCGAGAGATATTTGGGAATTTAAATTTACACAATGAAAATCCATCCCAGCTTACATATTCAGCGGTGGCTTAAACAAATAGATAAAACATTGGAATGCAGATTAATTATCTCTCTCTCTCTCTCTCTCTCTCTCTCTCTCTCTGTGGGGGGGGGGGGCTGATTATATAATATTGCTTTCTACTTTTATTTCACAGTAAAAAAAAACTCAATCTCCAATAAGTATTTTGTAAAGATTTTGTGTATTATTCATGTGAAAGAAAAAAATAGTTGATGGACATCATATAAACATTTCTTGATATGCTAAACTTAGTTGATATTAATAAACGGATACAAAAGTAGACAGTTTTTTTTTCCAGTTGACCTGCAGATTCAGATGAGTCGGAAATGTTGTGTTTGTGAAACTAAGGTGTAATAATTGTAAACAAAATGTAACAAACAATTTATGTCTCATCTAGAGTCGGCAAATTTAATACCGCGTTTCAGTAAACATTTTATTATGTATTGTTCACAACAAAATCTAATAAAATGTTGTCTTAAGTTTTTACGCAGTTTGCCGTACCTTAAAAATAAATTCTATAAACCATTCATCATTTAATACACCGCGTGATTATTGCTTGATTTGACAATATTCGCACTTGTATTTTTTTTCCCCTATGAAATAGTGATATTATGATATTACAGGTTAGATGTTTATGGAAAAAGTTATTTATTTCCGTTTCACGCCTGACTGGAATTTCAACCTAACATGTGAAAAAAAAAAGCTTTTTACTACCTTTTTTCTCACGCATATCTGACAGAATTTTAAATACAGTACGTCAGCGTTTATAAAAAGTGTCGAAAAACTTTTCAGATTTAAAAAGAAATTGGAACTGTGTACAATAGATCTTGGCAAAAATATACTCAGGCTGAGCTAATTGGATTTGGGAATTATATCCACGAAGCTGCGTGAATATTGTAGTGGTGTTTACGAAACACATAGCCGGCCGATCGTTCAGAGAGGTATATACAGTGTACACACATACACATAGTTTGAAGTCTACCTGACGTAGGTAGATATACATACCTATAGGTAAACGGTGTATTAAATATTTGCCATCGTTGCGGATCGCTGTGTACTAGAAATGTGACGGATTCGGTAGTCTTCGTTAACGTTTTAAGGGATAATATGTGAAATTGAAAACTATGTATATTTGGATAAATATGGAGAAATTATGGTGAACGTTACACGTAATATGGACCCATTGGGAACTCGCTACCTCGTGGTAGATTACCTGAACTACCGCCTGTCGAAGAATGGTCACACTTGGACGCATTGCCCGCCCCTCCTAGATCCTCCTCTGAAGATCCACACCACAATGAGGGAGAAGGGGGACGAATTTGAGGATCTTTACCGAGTCCAGTTTCAGGAGTTAGTGGATCAGTTACACGTGACTCATGACACCTGTTACCCCATGTTTAAAGCTGTGGTGGAGGAACTATTTCAGGGAGGGATCAATTGGGGGCGGATAGTGGCCCTTTTCGCCTTCAGTGGATCCCTCTCCACTCGTTGTGTGGAGAAAGGAATGGCGAGTTTAGTGGAACTGATAGTCGAATGGATGACGCAGTTCATTGAACAAGATTTAAGTCAGTGGATTGATCAACATGGGGGATGGGTAGGTATATAATAAGAGGTGCATTGTGATTTTAAATTTGGATCTCTTTGCATGCATGTTTGATTATAAAATCACCCGTCTTCATACAAATTTTACCGACTCATGAAGTACTAGTAGGCGTTTGAAGTTAATATGATTTTCTTTAAAATCCTTTCAGAATAAAGAAATCATACAGAATCGATTACATAGAACTTCGATAGAAAAAAATGAAATTGTGACCAATGACTGAAACGGATCGATATCCCCTGCTTTCTATTTTATAGTCTGCAAAACGAAATCTGATTTTAAAGCTCCAAGATATACTTGAGGAGTTTCGTAATTTAACTTAGTGCTTAAAATCCAATGTATTTTTCTCGGTCACTTATCAATAAGGGCTAAAATTACTGTCGCATAATTTGGTCGATTTTTGTGCTGATTATGTTTATCTATACAACACATTAAAGATAAATTTTCCTGTGTCAATCAACTCGTTATAATAGTTCTCAGTTTATTTATATTCTATGTAGTTTCAAAATTGTGAGGTTTTTTTCAAATTTCTTTTTTATGTCTATGTGTCCGGGTGACTTTGAATGTAAGAAATACAACAAAGTGATTGCTTTAGATATGCATGCACATGTAATTGAATCTGTCCTACAGCTTTTGTCCACATAGAATCACAAACGTATATTGATTTTCATTTCCTTTTTAGAAAATATCCCGTAAGTTTCCTTGACACAGGGAAATTCGTTGTGTTTTACTACTATATTGCCTATGTATACATATGAAATTGAAACTTTAAAAAAAATGTGCTAAAACAGAGCACCCAAGATCCGCCTTTGAGAGGATAACGACCCAAATGTTTATCAAAATCGTCGTCCTAGAGGTTCAAAGACTTAATATCCTGAGGTCTTTGTCCCAAAAGGGGAGGAATAATTTGAGAACCTTTAATCATTTTTGTCTGTGATGTAATAGTGAAAAGGTGTTTAATAGTTCTCTTGAGAAAAGATGCACATTAACTGCCAAAATCTCCTCTGTAACTTTAAGAATGAATGACAGTCGATTCTAAGAAATTGGCGAAGCATAAACCTGTGGAGTAAAACACAGCTTTTTAACGGTTTATATATTAAACGATTGGATACAATCTGTGATTTTCTGATAATCTCCGACTCAGCTGGTAAAGTTAGACAAGTCAAAATATGAATACATGTACACCCCTTTCCACACATTTTACAATCAATAAACTGCATAGTGTGTTTATAATATAATCATGCTTTTCTAAATCTAGCAAACATACAAGTAAATAATGAATTAAAGTTTACGGCCACCTTACTGTATATTACCCCACATACCTTAATGTCTTCACATATTCTGAACTGAAAAAGTTCTCTCTCTCTCTCTCTCTCTCTCTCTCTCTCTCTCTCTCTCTCAGAACAGAACCTTAAATTTATGATACCGTTAAATTGTTACAGTCCTCTGCTTCGAAGAATTTGATAAATTACATTCTTTGGGGTCGGGGAAAGGGGGGTGTTCTCCATTTACCTATATTTACATGCATGGACAGTAGACACACGTGGTCGAATTCCTTATGTATGTGTATATGTACATATTAAGAAGGTGCATTGACAACAAAACGATGGATAAAAAATTGAACCACATAAATATAGATACCTAACAATCAATTTACATTGTGATACTTTCTTCTAAATTGAAGATCTGCTTTCTGGTTTGTGGAAAATTAGCATCGTGATTTCAAATATCTGAATACGTAATAGAAAAATTAACTGGGTTTCATATGCTGAATAGCTATTTTTTGCTAGGTACTATCATTTGTGGTATAAGGAATTCGACCACGTGTATCTATTTACATTGTTCAATCCCATTTTATCTATTTTAAGAACAACCAATTAAAATGCCTCATTTCACTGACGTAACCTTTGACCTAAATTTTCGTGAATGCAGATAAATAATTTAAATACCTTTGGAAAATCGAGAACATTATCGATGTCGTGAAACAATACTACACAAAAAATGGACCGTATGAATATTTTTAGCCTGCAAAAGTTTCAGAGAAAGTAACGTAAAATCATTGATTTTTTGTTTCGTGTCGCAAAAGCTTTTCATTGGTATAGGGGGCTCATTCAATATTCGCAGCTGTTAAAGATACCGTGGACCAATAACGTACGTACAGGAAAACGGATTTATGTCGTGTAGTGTGGGAAATTCTTGTTTATTTTAGATGTTCCTTAATCTACTATATGTAAGAGCAATGCATGTATCGGAGTCATACTAAAAAATATTCTGTGAAAGCTATGGGCGAGGAGGATTACAAAAGTCTGGTGGCCGACTATGTGAATTACCGGTTGGGCAAATACGGTTTCGAATGGGAAAATGCGCCGTCCCAGACGAACAATAACAAGATCTACAAAACTGTCAGAAAACTTGGGGACGAGTTTGAAAACAAGCAAGATTCTAGTGACTTACATGAAATGGTAACAAGTCTACAAATTACACCTGAAACAGCTTACTCGACTTTCACAACTGTTACAGAGGAAATGTTTTCTAACGGCATAAACTGGGGGAGGGTAGTGGCTCTGATAGGATTTGGCGGGGCTTTATCTGTTGAATGTGTATCAAGAAATATGCCACAACTCGTGGACTCGATAGTAGACTGGGTAGCCGCATATATGAACAGTAACTTAAAGGATTGGATATCAAAAAATGGTGGTTGGGTAAGTGTGAAATCTGCTATCAGCATGTGAGTGGGGTCTATTGTCTGTTGTGTTGTGAACCGCTAAACAAAGGGGGAACCCAACACCTGGCTTTATTGGTTACAGTTGACTGGATCAGGATGTCAACACTGTATCTAGTTTTCATGGTCTTTTTGTGTATTTGGTTTATTAAGGAAGGTAATATAAACATCCTAGTAATGGTACACATAATTATTATGAATGAGGATTAGAATTACTGTATACACTATACAGTGTTGCATCAAACATGAGCCACAAGTATAATTTATTGAAGGAGACGTACCACAAAGTTTTTCACATTTTGAAGATATAAGTACCCGTACATGCTCCATATGGCACCATCATTGATTATATTTGGTTCTTTTTCACCTCAGTAATAATTAAACATACTTCAGCCTTATTCGCACTTACCATAGTGCTTCCAGCAAAATATTAACAGAACATTAGTTACAAATACATCTCATATTGCATCATAAATTCCTAACTAGATGAGCATTAAGTGATTTATATACGCATAATCTACAAATTGACATGAACAGACTGACCATGGTGATGCATAAACGTGTTTGTCAAGCGATGATTTAATCATGTTAATATGATAATATCTCAGTCTGAATAATGTACATATGCATTCCAGGGTATATATTTATAATATTGCTTGAACTGTTGAAACTCTCTTATTCTGGCAAATCCAAGTTAGAAACATTGGGGTCCCCTGATCATATTCAGGTTCAGAAAATGTATCATCAACAAAAATGTAAGGTGTCCTTCAGAATTTAGATATGTAATTGTAGAAATTTTTTATAAAAAACTTGATATATTTAGAAAAGACTACCCCAATCTCGGTTTCACATTATACAGATGAAGGTATTAAATTGTATATGTGCTTACGGGTAATTTTTTATGGCTTTCTGGAGTATTCAAGGTGAATATACTTCAACATGTGCATGATTTTCAAGTCATTTTTAAAAGTGGGTTTGTTTGTAATACATCCCTTACAGTCACCAGTTTCATCTTTTAAAGTTTTATTGGGGTCATAAACAATATCTTTGTTCATTATTTTACCTCTTGATTTGAAGTGAGGTTACCCATAGATATCATCTTAAATAATTTTGTTGTTTGGCTGTGACAACAATTAAGGTTATTAAAAGCTTTTAATTTTTCATCTTGTATTAAGTATACTTAGGGTTGTTGAATATCTTATTATCGAACAGATATTGCGTAATTTACTAGATATAGATTTTTTTTAGGAGGCTTTGGTCAGCTGATTACTATTCATCAAAATGTGACCATCTGTAACATTTGATATATACAGTAAAACTTGTTTAGTACAAACACGGATATAGCGAATTTACGGATATAGCGAAGTTTTCTGAAATCCCTGGCGAAATTCTTAAGAGTTCCTTGTAAAATTTTACAGATATATGAAACGAAATCGGATATAGAGAATTTAGGGTTGTAGCAAACTGATTATGTGTCCTTAGAAGTTAAAAATAACGGAAATTACATTAGTTAATTTTCAAAGATCTGAATTTTGTAAATATTGATTTGGCAATAATTTTGCGAGTATAGCAAAGGAAATTTGCAGGTCCTCAGAACTTCGCTATAAACTAGTTTTACTGTAAATGAAAATTGCAATATCTTCAACCACCTCAACAATGATATCATATACTGATGAATAAGACCTGAATATCATGACAAAAGGCATTGAATTTGGCCATAATGATTTTCCATTCTGGCTATTTACACATTTATTATGTCTTAGTTGTCAGTGGGGATGGAGTGTTAATATGACGTAGCATCAATAAGGGTTAAAAATAAACTAGCTGACCAATATCCACTGGAGATTTGTATTAGATAACACTGGTATTGAGTTTCTCATCAGCTGCCACATTTAATTAACTTGCATTAATTAACTTAGTGACTGTACTTTACTGAAGAATGTTCCACTGGTGTCCCAGTAGTATAAGGAAGAAAAAGGTTAGCAATAGCATCACACGGAAGTGGATAGGATTTGAAGGAAGGTTTTCCTTTCTAAACATCTCAATCTCCAACTTTCTGGCCTTATATTTTTTATCCAGTATAATCTATTAGGAATACTGGAATTTGCACAGACGGGTAACTTAAATAGGTAGCTCAGCTAGCAGACTAAGATGATGAAGAATCAATTCTATCATTTAATGTCCCCCACATCTTGTTCCATCCTATCGATCAATCTAGAATTTCTATATGATACGTGGACACATGGTCCATTATATATAATATTACATTTAT